GACATAGGAGAGGCCAGAAGATTTTCGCGGAGACTGAGAATCCCTTATGCAATGTTAGGGGAGCAGGATAAATGAGGAAAGATGACGGAGGAGGAGGAGGAAGAGGAAGAGGAAGAGGAGAAGGAGGAGGTGGAGCACAGGAAGGAGAGGAGCACAGCAAGAAGAGAGTAAGGACCCGTCGCTAATTCACTCGGTGGAAGCTCTGGAAAAGTCAACCCTGCAGTTGCGCAGCGGCAGCAGCAGGCGGAGGACAAGGACACCTGCGAAGGAGGACGGCCACTTCTGCGCACGAGGAGCTCTGGTCCCAGACCCCCGACGCCGTGAATGTTTCACGACGTGGACCCCCAGAGAAGCTTGTTTGGGGAAGAAGGGCCATCATAGGCATTCGCACTCATGATCTTCTTCAACGCGCTTCGGGGCCGGATCCGCATCATAACGGTCCTCGAGATGGGCATCATAGCCGCTCCACCACGAAGAATGATTTCATCACGTTTCATTGATGTAATTCCACGCGTTGCGTGCTTTCACGAAAGATCTGGACCTCTTCCCTGGGACCGGGTTTTCATCCCGAGTCCTTTTGCGACGGTCCCGGCGCCTGGTGAGGGCCCCCAGGGGCCAAGGGTCGTTGACAGATTTCTCGGTTCCCAATTCCCCATCCGGCCTCAGGAAGTTCGCAAAAAAATCCCGAAATTTCGGAAAAAAAACGTCTTTTTTTCCGAAATCTCGGAAATCCTTATAGGGCGCCCATGGTACCATTGGGACCGTATGGAGGTTTGCAGAACAAACGGAGAGAGAGAGAGAGAGAGAAAGGGAGGGCGGGCATTTCTCACTGAGCCGCGCGCGGCAGGCCCTGGTGCGGCCGATCACGAGCGCCCGGGCACAGGCACGGCCGCCCCCCCGTCCCCACCCTCGCGGCGAGGGCGTTGGCTCACAAGGGAACCTTCGGGGAACCGTCGGCTGTGGCGACTGTTGCGGCGTCTGCAGCGCTTGTGCCGGCGGCGTCGGCTGCTGCGGCTGTGTCTCGGCTGCGGCGGTTGCGTCGGCTGCGGTGACTGCGGCGGTGGCGGCGTTTCAGTTTCGCTGCCTGCTGGCATCCGCGTGATGTGAAGACGCTTGACTCCGGCAATCTTGGGCCGCCCAAGAATGTGATGGTCTTGGCCAAAGGTTTGAACACACATTAGGGGGATAGGCTAAGGGCTGGGCGCATCGGCCCCCAAATCGCCCAATGATGAACGACAAGGGCCTCATAGCCCACACTGCCCAGGAACGTGCGGAACTCCGCTTGATAGCGCTGGTTTACGAGGGGACCCAGATCTCCGACGATGTTTGTTTCCATCGCCGCGTTTTTCCCCGATGTTGGCCTCCTGGGCCCGCTTTTGGGTCCAAGAGCCATCACAAACGGATCCAGGGCGAAAAACTACCCCTGGGGAAAGGGTCGGGACCTCTGGAGCCGCGCATTGAAAAATAACATCGTCGGATGCCTGGGAACATGCCGGAACTTGCCATACCCGAGAGCCCATTCCGATCCGATCGATCCGATTCGGCACCGAGTCCAGTCATCCCGATTTGATCCAATTCTGATGTTCCAATGATCCGATCGGCCCGATGCGGCCCGAGGTTACGCGGCCCAAGGGCCCCAAGATGGCCCCAAAACGGCTTCAGAGGGCCCCAAGACGGCCCCAAGAGAGCTTCAGATGGCCTCCAGACGGTCCAAGAGAGTCTCGAGACGGCTCCAGAGGCCCTCAAGAAGGCCCCCCAAAGAGCCTCAGGTGGCCAAAAACAGTAGTTTTGGGGGGGGGTCGGGTTGTCCTTTTCATGCCCAGAAGGGCCCCAGACGGCCCAAGAGGCCCCAAAGATCGTCCCAAGACGGCCCCAGAGGCGCCCCAAAGGCGCCCAAAACGGTCCAAGACGGCTCCCAGACGGGCCCAAGACGGCCCAAGAGGCCCCAAAGATCGTCCCAAGACTGCCCTAGAGGCCCCCCAAAGGTGCCAAAAACGGTCCAAGAGGGCCCCAAGACGGCCCAAGAGAGCCCCCAGACGGCCCCGAGAGAGCCCCAAGAGGCTCCCAAGCGGGCCCCAGGAGGAGGAGGAGGAAAAGGAGGAGGAGGAGGAGGAGGAGGAGGAGGAGGAGGACGAAGAGAAGGAGGAGGCGGAGAGGAGGAGTAAGAGAAAGAGGAAGAGGAGGAGGATGAGGAGGGAGGAGAAGGAGGAGGAGGAGGAGGAGGAAGAGCAGGAGGAGGAAGAGCAGGAGGAAGAGGAGGAGGAGGAGGAGGAGCGGAGGAGGAAGAGGAGGAGGAGGAGGAAGGAGAGGAGGAGGAGGAGGAGGAGGAGAAAGAAAGAGAAAGAGAAAGAGGAGGAGGAGGAGGAGGCGGAGGAAGGGAGGTAGAAGGAGAAGGTGGATGAGGAGGAGGAAAGGAGGAGAGGAGGAGGAGGAGAAGAGGAGGAGGAGAAAGTCGAGGAGAAAGAGGAGGTGAGGAGAGGAGAAGGAGACGAGGGGGGAGGAGGAGGAGGAGAGGAGGAGGAGGAGGAGGAGGAGGAGGAGGAGGAGGAGGAGAGAAGGAGGAGGAGGAGGAGGAGAGGAGGAGGAGGAGGAGGAGGAGGGAGGAGGAGGAGGGAGGAGGAGGTGGAGGGGGAGGAGGGAGAGGAAGAGGAGGGAGGGGTAGAGGAGGAGGAGGAGGAGGAGGAGGAGGAGGACGACGACGACGAAGAGGAGGACGAGGACGAGGACGAGGACAAGGACGAGAGAGGAGGAGGAGGAGCAGCAGGAGGAGGGGAAGGAGTCAGGAGGAGGAGGAGGAGGAGGAGGAGGAGGAGGAGGAGGAGGAGAAAGAGGGAGGAGGAGGAGGAGGAGGAGGAGGAGGAGAAGAAGGAGGAGAAGAAGTGGAAGAAACTGAGGAGGAGGAGGAGGAGGAGGAGGAGCGAGGCTCCCAACTGAGAGCGGTCACGTAGCACGCGCTTGCCAGCAAGGCTCCCAAGAGCGAGCGGTGACGCAACAAGCTCTTACCACCAAGGCTCCCAAGAGCAAGCGGCAACGTAAGTATCTCTGGGCACGAGGATTCTGAACAGAGAGCGGTGACGCAACAAGTTCTTCCCAGCAAGGCTCCCAACAGAGAGCGGTGACTTAACACGCGCTTACCAGCAAGGCTCCCAAGAACGAGCGGTGACGCAACAAGCTCTTACCGCCAAGGTTCCCAAGAGCGAAGAGTGGCATGAACCATCTCGGGCAGGTTGCTAAGCGCTCTTTCCGTTCCCGAGCCGGCCCAGGTAACGGAAAGGGCGAGGTGCGAGCCATGACGTTGTGTTTTGGGCGAAGCCCCGTAAGGGGGGGTCCAGGGGTGTGCGTAGCGGGCACGAATGAGTTCTAATGGCTGTTTGGGGGGGTTCCCCTTGGGTGTTTGCATGTTTTTCGGGTTTCTTTTTTTCCGTCCCAGAAGAGCCCAAGACAGCCCCAAGACGGCCCAAGAGGCCCCCAAGAGGCCCCAAGAGGCGCCGAAGGGGCGTCCCAAGAGGGCCCCAAGAGGCCAAAATCTTCGATGTTCCATAGGAAAACGTACACGTTTAGCATCTACGGCTTTTCGCCTTTCACGGCGTTGACGACGGCCCAAGAAGCCCCCAAGACCGCCCCAAGATGGCCCAAGAGGCCCCCAAAACGGCCCAAGAGGGCCCCCAGACGGCCCAAGACGGCCCAGGAGGGCCCCCAGACGGCCCCAAGAGGGGGACCACGAACCGAAAAGTCTAGCCTTTCGCCCCAAGACGCTCCCAGGAGGCCCCAAGAGCCACCCAAGAAGGCCCAAGAGGCCCCCAAGAGGCGTCCCAAGAGGCCAACAGGAGGCCAATTTCATAGATTTTCTATTGGAAAACGTACATTTTTAGCATACACGGCTTTTCGGCTGCCACGGCGTTGCAGACGGTCCTAGAGGCCCCCAAGACCGCCCCAAGACGGCCCAAGAGGTTCCCAAGAGCCCCCCCAGACTGCCCAAGAGGGCGCCAAGACGGCCCAAGAGGCGCCCAAGACGGCCGAAGAGCGCCCCAAGACGGCCCCAAGAGGGGGACCACGAACCCGAAAGTCTAGCCTTTCGCCCCAAGACGCCCACAGGAGGCCCCCACAAACCCCCAAGAAGCCCCAAGAGGCCCTCCAGAGGCGCCCAAGAGGCCACCAGGAGGGCCCGAAAAGGGCCCCAATAGGACTCACACGAAGGCCCAGAGACGCCCAGAGCGATCGGTAACGCAAAAAGCTCTTTACACCAAGGCTCCCAAGAGCGAACGGTGACGTCAAAAAGCTGATAAAACCAAGACTCCCAGCAGAGAGCGGTGACGTAACAAGTTCCTGACACCGAGGCCCAGCCAAGGCTCAGGAACGGGCGGCAACGCAACCATCTCTGACACCAAGGCTCCCAAGAGCGAGGGGTGACGTAACCAGCTCTCAACGCCAAGGCTCCCAGTACGAACGGTGGTGTGAGTCATTTCGGTTTCTGTGGCTGCAGCGCTTTTTTCTATTTCTGTGCCGGGCCAGGTGACAGAAAGAGCGAGGTACGAGCGAGTGACGTTGAGTAGGGGGCGAAGCCCTTCTAGGGAGGGGCCCAGGGGAGGGGCGAGGACCGCACGTAAAGTCTAATAGCCCGTTTCCCTCATAATTTTTCTAGTGAAGCGGCTCCCGGGCGGCTCCCAGGGCCAGTTTCTTCCCCAGACGGGCCCAAGACGGCCCAGAGGCTCCAAATATCGTCCCAAGACGGCCCCGGAGGCGCCCCAAACGGGCCCAAAACGGTCCAGGAGGGCCCCCAGACGGGCCCAAGACAGCCTAAGAGGCCCCAAAGATCATCCCAAGACGGCCCCAGAGGCGCCCCAAAGGGGCCCAAAACGGCCCAAGATGGCCCCCAGACGGCACCAATACGGCCAAGAAGGCCCCGAGGGCCCTAAGAGAGCCCAAGAGGGCCCCAATAGGCTCCCCAGCGCGCCCGAAGAGGAGGAGGGGGAGGAGGAGGAGGAGGAGGAGGAGGAGGA